TTCATTAATATTTTTACTAGTTCATTTTATTTAAAAATATTATTCAAAATAGGTCTAATTAAGGACATTTTAAGGGATTTACATCTCAAATTTATAACACATAAAAAGAAGTAGAAAAGAGGCCTTTGCTTCCTCGTGGTGACATGTCATTTATCAACGTTATACTCGGTAAACACTGTTGATGGACAAAAATTGCGTATGATTTGTACCAAAATATTATCGTTTTCGAGCTTGTTTGAACAAACCTATAAACATCTGACAACATAATCATAACGTATGTAACAAAAGTTTTCGGAAAAAATATTAATGAACGATTTAAAGAAAATTGTAAAATGTATTTCAAATATTATTTGTAATAGCTACTTAACAATAAACACAATTCAAATTAAACTTAAAGGCCCATGGTCTTCAATGGTACGCAATTTCCGATTAACTTGCCGCATCATATTCTAGATGGTAATATTGTCTATTTCGCGAATTTTTTGATATATTCGCCGTCGTAACTGTTGTTCATTTTCGGCTTCCCAACCATTATCGTAAACCTAGCTACCTATTGCTCAAAAATCTTTAATTGGACGAGCCTGGGGTACATTTGGAAGGTTGTCATTTTTGGGCACCAATGGGATGTTGTGGGTCTCTAACCAATTTGTTGTTGTTCTAGGGTAGTGTCAAGATGCTAGATTGGGCCAAAATATAATGTCATCGTTAGAGTAATGTGTGTTAATAAAATCAACCAATTTCGGAAGCATCACTCACTATAAATATTTGAATCTAATGCCTTACCCCTCACGCGTCCAACATAAGGCCTTGAAATACCCATCGTTGATAAGGCACACCAGACTAAAACCTTCTGCTCAAATTTCTTTTTTGATTTATATTTCACGTAATTGGGACAATTTTCTTATATCATCTGTATAAAATCCGTCATTACTTCTAATTTCCGAATGCGACAATGTGAAATATTTTTCGTCATCCATGATCACAACTTTGTTGACTAAGAAGTGGTGTCTTCTTAATGAACGGTAACATATTGGGATTTTGCGCAGTTGTTCTTCGGTGTATTTAGGGCATTTATTCCATTTTCGATACTTACTTAAGTCCCTTTCTACTTAGTTCTCGACTAATGGTCATGTGACTTACGCGAAATTTACGAATCGATTTTCCCAATTGGTCTTTTGCGGCTTCCACCAACCTATTTGACTGGGAAATAGTCAAAGCTTTAGACCGACCGCTTTTTGGAAAGTTTACATATGGTATACCTTGTTCTCATTCTGCTATAGTTTTATAAATGATCGAAATTGCGACATCTTGACCTCTAAATATATTTACAATTTCACGTTTTGGCAACCGTCCAACTAAATTGTACACAGATTTTCGGATAACCAGTTTGTACGACATAACTCTTTTAATATTTGACAAATATGATATAACATATTGAAGTTTGAATGTTATCTAATTTTTGTTTCCAGTGGTGACTAGATTTGAAGTTATTTAGGCTTAACTGTCAGACCATAAACTTATTCCGAAATCTTTTATTACATACGTTATGTGTATTGTCAGTTGTCATTATTCGTAATCTATTTATTAAAAACAAAGGCCAAATACGTCATTGATTCATTTGATAGGAAAGAAGAAATTTAAGATTTAACATAAAAGTTGAACCTGTCAATTATTAAGCATAAATATTAATGCTAATACTTATCATAAATCGAGTATAAATGTCCCCATTATATTGTGAAGGTTCAACTTAATCCTTAATCATAATACTAATGCAAATACTAATATTAAGGGAGTATAAATATACCCGTAGTCACGTGACGCTACTTTTAACCAATAGAATTGATGAAATGTTCTTATTAAAAAGAGACATGGTAATACACAGAGTTATATTATCACTGTGGTACATGGATTACCATGACTATGAAACAAACTTCTTTCGATACAAATCATTATCTGTCAGTTATGTCTAATTGTTGTCATATGGTTGTGATTATACTTGAAATATTTATCCATATTTCTATACATAACTTCGTGGAATGCTCAAATATCGATATTTATTTAATTCCAATTAATTTCAATCCCAATCTTTGGAAAATATAACGAGTGCGAAGCTCGTTGAGACTGACATTCGTACATTCAAAAATTTTTCCTTTTCCCTTTCATGGTCTCATTTACTATTTACAGCTTATATATATAAAGCCTTAGGTACTGCTTTCAACATTTCTAAAGTTAAATTCCAAATATTATCCATATCTCAAAGTGATTAGAATTAGATTAAAAAGAATTGAGAAAAATACAGTCTGTCAACCACATAATCTTTAATTAGATTTTTTTTAAATGGAGAAAACTAATTTTAAACGTGTTTCATCCTATCTTTGATCTCTACCTAGTAGTTTTATATATTTTATAATTTTTTTTTATGGATTTTTTATAGTGGTAATACCTTTAGTTAATATTTAGTAACAGTATCTAATAAGTAATTGCAAATTGTTCTAATTATAATTTTATTTACCTAAAGATGTCCTTAAAAGGTCGAAAGCGCTTAAATATTAAAAAATCTAATTAAAGATCCTGTGGTTGACATACTTAATATTATTTTTTCATTTCTTCTTAATTTTTGAAATTATTTGTCATGACCAGGTGTGTCTCTTAACATAATTTATCTCGGTATGTGAAGGGAGAACAATAGAAAACCCCTTCCCATAATCAATCTGCATAGATGTGACTACAGCGGGCTATCCAAAGAGTTGGAGAATGACAATGCAAACGACATTCTCCTAAAATACAGCTTTTAAAAGCTTTATAAAGTAATTATACTATACAGGGAAGTGTGAACGAAAGGATCTCCTATTTATACAGAAATAATCTAGTATACAGACAGCTCCAAACTCCATGAATGACAAGAAGCTCAAAGTTTAGGTAAACATGAGACATTATTCCAGTCAAAAATAGCAGCAATACATCACTGCACAAAAGATATATCAAAATCTAAAATAAACGAAAAGACCATTGTCATAATATTATACAGTTCAACGACCTTAAAAGCACTGAAATTAATATAGGTAAACTCAAAGCTTGTATGAGACTGGATACCATGCCACAGATGACATAAGGGCAATAAAGAGGCTGAATTACTAGTCCGAGAAGGAGTCACAAAGGTGCTTATTGGCACAGTACCCTTCTGCGGTATCACAAAGGTAGCTTTTAGAACATACAAAAAGTAGTGGATTTAAAAATAAATCTCAGGAATGGTGGAACAATTCACCAGGATAGAGACCGGCCAAAGAGTTCTTAAAAGAATCGTCGCCAATACTCACCGAACATCTACTAAGCCATAATAGGAAAAATACCAAAGTATTAGTAGGCCTATTTACAGGACATTGCAGGTTTAAAAAATTAAATCGGCCTGGCAGAAGAAACCTTGCGCCGATTCTATCAAGAAGAGGAGGAAACTACAGTTCATGTATTGCGTTACTACCAAGGTCTATAAAGAAAAAACTTAACACTTGGAAAAAAAAAATCAAAAACAACTAGATACGCCGGAGAGCTACTATCTCGGCTACTACCTACTCTATAGGTATTACTTCAATAGACCAAATTAAACAAGGTACTATAACCAATGATTAAAAGATATCCACAATAGATCTGAAAATATCGAGTGTGGGGGAGGCTACATACCCCTCAATTCTAACGAAATCTAAATATAATGTCTCTTTAATGTCTCTTCTCTTTGTTTGTAGTTTCTTCTAGTTTCAAATCATAATGAAATCTAAATAGATAATTAAGAAAATGAGATATCTACGCTTATGATAGACGCACTTAAAGTGATGATGATTTCCCAAAGTTACATAGCATTTCCTTATGTCTTTTCCTTGAATCTATTGTTAGCGAGTAATGTCTTCTAATAATAGGAAAACTTTATTACGTTCATTTTGTTTAAAGACTCTTATAGATGATTTATTTCATTCGGAGTCGTAATTTTTACGTTGAACCATTAAAATGGCGAACATTAATCTTTCATTCGCTTTGTATCAATAGTACTAAAGATTAATGAGACTTAACTTATTACATTTTTGTAGTCTAGTTTATAGGATTTATTTCCGTAAAAAAATTAATTTAAGAGGGATTACCGTTACGGCGTTTTGACGAGCTTCCGTTGCGTATAGATTTAAAAAAGATTTTATTTTTATCTGAAAATACAGTTTAAGGGTTCTTATTATAGAAAGGGTGGCAATTTTAGGCGAGGGTAAAAGCATATTCCTGTGCACCCGTTCTGCCTTCAACTTTTAACTCATTCAAAATACAAATTAAAATAACCTGTTAGACATTTCTTCTTTTGGTAGCATACTTGTTGGCGATCGTTAAGTCGACTAGTTTTTTATTTTCGACATCGTCGCTAGCAGTTCAAAAAAGCTGTCTTATCGTGTGTTACTAAACCATGGTAATTCTTTTCATCATATCGTTCGTTTCTGTCTTCTATTTAACGTTGAATATTGGAGGTAATATCGTATAAAAATTCTGGATATTTATGTTTAATGCAGTACTTCCTAATGCGGTGTCCGATATATACAGCCAAACTTATATGGAATCATCTATTATTTTTCATAATTTTTGAGATGTGTAAACATTTTTTGTTAATGAATAACACTCAGTCCTTACCAAAGACTTTTATTGACAAATAACCCATATGGCAATAAAAATAATCAATTAGTTGACAAAATAACCACAATGGTATTTTTTTGGTTTCTGAGCTTTTAATTTTTAATAGCCGAAAAGCAAAAACAGAAAGAAAATTAATAATTTTAACAATCCGTGTTACCACTTTTAGTCCTTATGCAAGCTCCTATTCGCCTTGCTTCGGCATGCTTCTTATTAAATTGTCTTATGGTATGTTTTCCCACTCTACTAATGCTGCATCAATAAGCTATACGACATTTCCTGCATTGTTTCGAAGAGCTCTAACCCTTCTTTGGAGCTGGTCCCATAAGTGTTCGATAGGATTTAGATTTGGTAAACATGCAGGTCAGTCTAAAACTGTGACACCTTTCGTTTCAAGACATTCTCTAGCCACTTTGCTGGAATGGGTAGATGCATTATCGTACATAAAGATAAAATTATCCCCAATTGCAGCTGTCCACCGCCTAAATATTGGTTCTAGCACTAAATCAACATACCTCGCCACGGTTAAAGTTTGTTGAAGTGGTAACAATGGAGTTTTTGCTCTCAGCATAATAACTCCCCAGAACATTACAGTTCCTCCTTAATATCTTGGGATAGATCTGGTAGCGTGGAGTCTCGCTCATCTTTCTGGAGCTCAGAAAACCCGAATTCGATGGTTATCTGATCTTACGCCAATTCTGGTCTCATCCGAAAAAAAGAACATTTCGCCAATTCTCAATTGTCCAGTTTTTGGGTTGAAGGCACCAATTTAGCCGGTCAATTTGATTTTGCCTAGATAACGGTGGGACCCGTATCTCCCTTTTGCTGTACAACCCTCGAGCGCAAAGTCTTTTTCTTAGGGTTTCAACTGAAACGTTCACACCTGTAGCTTCCAGAAGTTGTCGTTGTAGCTCTGGATGAGAAAAACTAGGATTTTTTCTAGAAATTTAGCACACAAAGCGGTACTGTTGTTCAGTAGTGACTCAGTGATGACTTTGTTTGGTCCTGTTATTCAGAGTTTCTAGTTCCAAGTACCTTTCATATGTTTCCAATACAATACCCTGGGTATCGCCTACTACTTCTGCTATGTCTCATTGGTACATTCCATGTTCAACGAGAGCAATAATTCTTCCCCTCAGCACATCTTTTAGTCCAACATAAAGTATTCACAAGATAATAAATCACAGCAGTCGTTTCTTCTTTATTATCATGTTTGTTTTGAACAAAAAGCCTTATCTTAAAGTTGGATACCAAATTTTTATCCTACAAAAAAAAAACAGTGATTCTATATAAGTTTGGTTGTGATTTTCAACATCATTTGTCTACAACTTCGCATCTCAAACAGTTCAAGCCGATTCATCGTACCAACAATACCAACTGTTTGGGTCCACGTTTTGTAAGCACACATCGCAACCAACCCTAACATTGGCGCCAGACACGAAATGTTTCATTCTTGCGATATCTTAATCTTCAAGTTAATAATGAGAAAAATATATAGTTAATAAGTAGATGTCATGATTAAAAATTTTTCTGATCTCCTTTATCTTCAACAATTTTTACATACAGAAAGAAATAGAGATGAAATAGAATATGAGGTCGCTTTTTATTACTAGAAATCACATAAAGAAAAAGAAGAAGAAGGAAAGAAGAGGAAGAAGAAACCGATTAAAATTGATGGTATTTTTTTGTATACCGGCTGATAATGAGACCAGGGCCACGTTAATATTGGGACAAAATTTCTAGACATAATTTCGAATTGACACCTACATTTAAACAAAATGGCTGACTTCCGGTTTTACCGGCAATGCCATTAAGTTTGATTTTTTTATGAATCACGCTGTATGTTCTATGTTTTTGGAATCTAGGGATCAAATTACCTACATAAGAATGTGTGCTTAAGTTTTCTTTTTCCAAAGTTATTTCTCTTTTTCAATTTTGTATTTTTTTGAGACAGAAGGCCATAAACTGGAAAATAATGTTCTAATAGCCTCCAATAACTCGAAACAAAAGTTATGTTACCAATTAAGGTAAAACTAAATCCTTTAGAAGGAAAATTAATATTACCAATCTGATAATGTGCACTCCAGTCTAAGGCCTCGAATACAAAAAAAAAAATATTTTTTTAGGGAAAAAAATGATTTGAAAAAAGCGAAAACATATATAATTTGACTTGCAGATTTCAAAACATAAAATATACAGGGTAATCTGTTTAAAAAATCAAACTTGATATTTCCGGTAAAAGTATAAGTGTCAATTTGAAATCATATCTACTATATGTGTTTAAAATTTGATTCAAATAGCTCAATAAATAAAAGAGATATTAATGTGGCCCTAGTCTCATTGTAATTCAATATTGCCGAAATTGTACATTCAATTATCCATTTTATAACTTTTACTGCATGAAATTGAAAATAATGATAATTATACACATTTATGTTTTAATTTAAAAACATTATATTAACAAATATAATTGTTATATACATTTTTATGCTAATTGAACTTGTTTGTATCCCGTTATAAATGCGAATTTATTAGAATTCATTAGAAGTGCAGATTTGCATATAACTTTGTTGTAACTACTGCAATTTAGTAATTGAAAAACCAGAAACTTAATTAGAATAATCGTAAATTATAGGTGTTTATTATTTTGTATTTGTGGTCTTGATCTCATTACGTATACGTATCCATCTTTGTTTACTAAGATTTTATTATCAATCTTTATTTTAATTATTGAAACTTCTTTTATTGTTCTAATACCTTGTTTTCTGTTTATGTGGCCCACGTATTCAGGCCTAGTAGAACTCTTAAATAAAATAAAAGGAGAACCAAAGGGACCGGTATGGCGAAAGGCAAATCGAATTGTGATTCACCTGCTAGGAAAGTAACAATGATGATGCTAATATAAAAGAGGCGCTCCTCTTGGCGATATGATCAATAGTTACTTGAAAACAATAAACTGGCTGCCACTCCAGAAGGATGCATATTGGTTTTAACGAGACCTAAGTGATATGAAAACACCCTTCCAACTTTTCAAATACAGATTCTATTTGACGAACATTTGAATGTACAAATGTTTATTTTAATGTTTAAATGAATTTCTAAACCGTTGTAGGTTTTACTTTAGTGCCTTTCTTCTCTTGCAATATGACTATATTCTATTAGTTCCATAAATATAAATAGAGTCAAAACACTTCCTAGTCTTACGTTATTATTACCTTTGTTTTGTAGGTACTCTCCTACATGTACCAGTTTTTATCAATTTTAGTACCATTTGATTTATTCATAACGGTATAATATGTTGCGGGTTTAGCTCTGCTTTCCAATAGCCCACATACATTTTTTTTGTAATTTTAAATGGTATTCTTGTCATTATTTAATTTTCAATATGTAGATATGCAGTTGTATTTTTAATTTAATTAAATACTAAAGCGTTTTCCTTTTCAAGCTTTATTCTCTTTGTTTATCATATTTGATGCTTTTAATTACAAAGATAATGCATTCTTGGCGATTTCAAGCCAATTAGACAGTATTAATTAAAAAAATTCCACAGCTTATTTGTAATAATGAAAGCGCTTTGTTTTACAAGTCAAATTCCTACAAGCAAATCATTAAGAATATAATATAATTATTTTTTTACTTGTTTGGTACACTGAGTGCTTTGCAAATTATTATTTATAAAAAATACTAACAGAATTATTGTGAAGAGTTTTGCAAGCTATCAGAAGAAACTTTAAATTTTATTCAGTTAGAGATTTGAAAGTACTGATACAAATGAATTTCCAATGAATCAACCAAACGTCCATTAATTTTTCTTTGTGGATTGATAAATCAAAATATGAAGCTAATACATCAATACGAAGTCGATGCTTTCGAAAGATATTTAAAGATTCACAACACGATAACAGTTTTAAATTAAAAGCATTTCGATGTTTTTGATGGGAATAATTTTATTCTAAAGTTAGTATATACTTATAATATACTTGTTTTATTTAAAAAATATGTTGAAGTTGACATTCAATAGCAAAATTGCCCGATTAGTATAACAAACTGAGCACAAATAAAATATAATACAAATGAAAATAAAAAAAAAATTATTTTTTATTTTCAAGATTTGGAAAAACTAAAATCGTATACATATACACATGTATAGAAAGTAAACTATTTAAAACATTAATGTAGCAAAAGAAAACACTGCGAAGTTTTAAATGTACTTATTTTAAAATCTGATATACAATTTACTATTCTAATTATGCACAACAACGTTCGTCCAATGTATGTATTGACAAAATAGCGTTGGAGCCAATGTTAATACCAATGTTGCGCCAACGTTGGACTGTTTCCGTTGGTTATCGGTTTTTGCGACGCAGATCAAAGGGATTGGGACTAATATTTATGATGCCGACCACACAATTGCGTATTTATTCAGTCTATTTGCAAGGCGTGCAGGTAAGTGGTGAATATAATTTTTTTTACAAAATATCGTCTGAGGCGGTATGGGAAATAAGAAAGTGTTAGAGTTCTTGGAGCTATATCAAGCAAAATCACAATAATTATGGAACCCAATGGCCAAGGAGCATAAAAACCAAAATGCCATTGCTGATGCATGGGAACGTTAGTTTTAGTATGGGTTGCTCAGTTGCTGATTTAAAAAACAAATTTCTACATCATATCACATACATATTGACGTTGGCTCTAACAGGAATGGACAGTGTGCCAATTCTTCCCCAATGTGTGGAAACCATAACTACAGGATAAAGAACAATACAGAAAAGAAACAGGGCTAAAACAGGAACCTAACAACCGAAGCCACACCGTCTTCATGGTGGAGCATTCTCAAAAGTGAACCGTAGAGATCGTAGATGTGTTACTTGTTCGAAGTGCAACAGTGCACACTTTTGTAACAGATGAATGAAGCTGTCACTGCTGTCGCTGTCAGAAAATCAATTAGGCATTCCAAACAAATGAATTACCAGTGGGCAGGTTTGGTATATCTAAGGGTGGCGACATATGGTGTATTCTATCTACTTTACGTAAAATCATGAATAATGGATTACATTTAAATATTTTATGTCAAACACAATAAAAATAATATTTAAAAAACTCACCTATACATTTCTTCATAAATTGGCAGGCTTGGCGAGTACTACTTCGAATAAAAATAGCGTCCAAGTTGCAAGACTATGTCGCTACCCCCTTAAATATACAAGAATTTCCCACTGGCACCTATTGTTTGACAGGTCGTTGGAATGCCTAATATGTTTTGCCTGTCGTGTCTTTATTTGTCGTTTTGAATGTTTGGTTGTTTTTAGCGAATATTCTGATAACTTTTACGTTTTTTTAGTGGTTTATTTTTAGTTTTTGTTGCTGTTTTTAATTGTGGAGTATTAATTTAAGACTATTGTACCTATTGAGATTAGGTTTATAAACAATGCCACGTCAAAGACAAGGAGGATATGCTTGTATTTATCGTGGATGTACCTCAAGAATAGGTGTCAAAGAAGGATTGTTCACTCTTGTGAAAGATCCAGTGAGGTAATTATGAAACATGGGGGTGAAATAGGAATTGACCTTGCCATAACATTGTAGTACAATGATTGTATTTTTTAGACTTGAATTGTGGCTTAAGGCAGCAAATAGAGAGGACTTATTGGGAAAGAGTGTTGAACATTTAAGTAAAAATTACAAAATTTGTGAACTGCACTTCCAGGATAAATTCGTTTATCAGTCATGAACAAGAAAACGATTATTTTTAAATGTATTTCCAACAGTATTTCCCCATTCAGAACCTACGAAAAGAGTCACAGTTT